GATAGATAGATAGATAGATAGATAGATAGATAGATAGATAGATAGATTACACAGAGATAGTGTTGTCTAAAAAAATATTCCTAATAAATTTTAATGTTATCTTCTTACACTCACTTGCTGACTTGGACATTCAATCCCTTTATTTCATTCATTCTCCATCAGTGGAGAGTCCGGGGCGGGAAAAACCGAGAGCACCAAGCTGATGCTGCAGTTCCTGGCTGCCGTGAGCGGCCAGCACTCGTGGATCGAGCAGCAGATTCTGGAAGCAAACCCCATTCTTGAAGGTAAAAACAAACTTTGGATGTGAAGCGTGGACCTATCCCCATCTTCCTTAAATTGTCTTTGTCTTCTCAGCCTTCGGTAATGCCAAAACCATTCGCAATGACAACTCCAGTCGATTTGGAAAGTACATTGACATCAACTTCACAAAGAACGGAGCCATCGAAGGGGCCCGTGTTGAGCAGTACCTGCTGGAGAAGTCCAGAGTTTGCCGTCAGGTGGGGCTGATAACTGATCAGCTGTCTCTTTCCAAGTTGCATTTCCTTGTAATAGATCAACCTTATTCCTATAAACAGGCACCTGAGGAGAGAAACTACCATATATTTTATTATATGCTGATGGGCATGACACCAGAACAGAAAAAAATCCTCTCGCTTGGGAAGGCCGATGAGTACAAGTATCTGACCATGGTACTGAGATATTTCCAAACAGTCTTGTTTTTCAGATAACTGGTAAAAAGGGGTCCAAATTTAGCTTTTGATCGTGTGACCATTTTATAGGGTAAATGCACAACATGTGAAGGACGCGATGATGTCAGTGAGTTTGCTCACTTCCGTGCAGCTCTGAAGATCCTCATGTTCACGGAATCTGATTCCTGGGAGATCTTGAAACTTCTCGCGGCCATCCTTCACCTGGGCAACGTGAACTTTGAGGGTAAGGGCGGTTATGTTGCAACATTCTCAAATGCTGCATTCATGAAGTTTTTTTTTTTAATGGCATTTCTGCATTATTTCAGGCACCAACGTAAACAACCTGGAAGGATGCAACGTCCCCAAATCATCCAATTTTAAGATGGGCAGCCAGCTTTTGGAGGCAAGTGCAGTGTTTTGCGTGTGGATAGAAATAACCTGCTTTTATCTTATTTTTCTGCTGAACATGGTGGGCTGAGACAGGGTGGGAATGGGGTTGTTCTCTTCTTTCATTGTTCTTATTTTGTTTTGGTTTTGTTCTTTGTATATGTAGTAGGTATGACTATTTGAACATTTTTACTCGTGTGTGTATATATTAGAAGGCATACCTGCATAAGTATACGTTTATCAAAAAAAAAAAAAAGTGAACTGTATTCCTTACTGTGATTATCTTATCATTTGTTTCAATAAAAATAATTTGAAAAATATATAATAAGTGAATAACCTGCTGAGATGACTGTTTCTGAGTGCGTTTTATCTTTGTTTCAACCTCAGGTGGATCCCAAAGCACTGGAGAAAAGTCTCACTCAGCGCTCTGTCACCACCACCAGAGAGACCGTGACCAAACCTTTAACCTCCGGCCAAGCTGTCGACGGCAGGGACGCCTTTGTCAAAGTAAGGTTCCCAACCAAGTAGACTATACCTGTACAAACAAAGAATCTTGTGTCCTCTTTTTAAACAGGTTTAAAGCCAAAGTGGCAGGTGTAATGTCCAGTGAAGGTCTGTACTTGTCAAAAACCAAAAGAGCGGACTGCTGAAAAAGACAGTTGTTTAAAGAAGATAAAAAAATGACATCAGCATATGTGTGTAATCTGGTCCTTGGCAAGATTAATATTAGGCAAGAATGACCTTAAACAAACAACAGCCCGACATATCACATTTTGTCGTACTTTATATCACAAAGGCTGAGTCATAAAGCAGAAGTGTGTGATAAATCAACCACACCCTATCATCCAACAGCTCGTTGGATACCACTTTTGGCAAAAATAACAATAGATGGATTGTTTGGCATGTGAAGTTATCATGTCATTGTGGAGGAATGATGGTCGAAATGTTGCTGTAGTTTAGTGAATAGGCTTTGTTTTCTGCCTGTCTCAGTATTCAAATCAGGCTATAGTTTAGGATTCATTGTTCTGTTACGTGACCCAATTTCAGCCAAGACTTAGCCTTTAGTCACGTGTCTTAAAATTCCACCTAGAATGCAGAGGAGTTCATGGTGGACTGCAAGATGTCTAGATAATGTGACTGCATGACGAGCCCAAATCATCATTGCTTCACCACTATGCTTTACAGTTAGTAGGGGATGTTTGTACTGATATGCTCTGCTTGGTTTACTCCAAGCATGAGATGACTGTGAATTTTCCTTGTAGTTTGTTGATAACTTTGTTAACATAGATGCTGTTTTCTAAACGTACAGTATGTCATCAACTTAGTTAGTATATAACATGGTCACTTGGGCCTGAAGAGTCTGAGATGTAGCCCTTGGTTTGAGCTTGGTGTTAACTTGCTGGAATGCCCACTCTTGGGAAAATTAGCTCAATTTTTTCTACATTTTGATAATCCTTCTAACTGTAGGTTGATTAATTGGTTTACCAATACTTAATCACTACGAAAGCAGCAAGGGGGAGACTTATTTTTTTGCATTTTGACTTAATTTTATTCAGTAGAAACAAGTTTCATATGCTTTCTGTATGACTGTTGTTAAGTTGAATTATCTTGATTTTGATATCATGTGAAGGCCAGATGGTTTTATATTTGTTCTGAGAAAACCTTTGAATTCAGAGCGCGTTATTTCCGATACCTATTTGTTAGTCTTAAGTAATGAAATATGCTGGGTGGAGAAGAATGCATGATTTTCTGTATGATTTGTCCAGGCTATCTATGGAAGACTTTTCATCTGGGTGGTGGAAAAAATCAACTCCGCCATTTACAAGCCGCCAGAGGAGGACAAAGAGCCCCAGCAGTCGATAGGCCTACTCGACATCTTTGGCTTTGAGAACTTTAAAAAAAACAGGTTGATATTTTTGACACATCTCCTGACCATTGGGATGTTTTGCTGCAGTTTCAGGCTATAACTCATCTGTGCTTCACCTCGTGCAGCTTTGAGCAGCTGTGCATCAACTATGCCAACGAGCAGCTGCAGCAGTTCTTCGTCAGGCACGTTTTCAAACTGGAGCAGGACGAGTATGCCAGAGAGAACATCGTTTGGAAGCACATCGATTACCAAGATAACCAGAGCACGTTGGATGTTTTGGCAAGCAAACCTCTGAACATGCTAGCGCTCATTGATGAGGAAAGCAACTTCCCCCAGGTCACCGTCCTCTTTGTGCCTGTTAGGTTTTTGATACGTCAAAGAAAACGTCTTTTTACTCATGTGTTTCTATTCATTTTCAGGGCACAGATGCCACCATGATCCAAAAGATGAATCAGGTTCATGCGAAAGGGAACATCTACATCCCTCCAAAGAATACCCATGACACTCAGTTTGGAATCCAGCATTTTGCCGGAGTGGTCTACTATGACTCGCAAGGTCCTGAAAAGAATTTCAAAAGCAGCAAGTCATTCTTTTGGACATCGTCTCATTGTTTCCGCTGTGTGTTCTGTTTTAGGGTTCCTTGAAAAAAACCGTGACACGCTCAGCTCGGATCTGATTCAGCTAGTGGAGACCTCCTCCAACAAACTTCTCCGGCAGGTCTTTCGCAACGAGCTGACCCCCAACTCCTCTGTCATTAAGAACAGTGCCAACCCCAGGATGACCATCACCACACCAAAAAGCTCACTCCGGGTTAGTGGAGAGGCAAAAGACCTGGCGTCTCAGCCATAATGATGTAGTCAATGCACATGCACCTACAAGTATACGAAAATGATAAACCCTTTGTTTTCGTGCGACAGCAAACGGCTGACAACAAGAAGCGCGTGCCAACCCTGACCGGCCAGTTCCGTCAGTCTCTGGAGGCCCTGATGAAAACTCTGACAGCGTGTCAGCCGTATTTCATCCGCTGCATCAAACCCAACGACTTCAAGAAGCCCATGGTGAGGAGAGGAGCCAGAGCGAAGGCACGCCTGCGCCCGAAACGCAGAAGAGTTTGCCGTGATAATCTCACCCTCTCCAACATCTTTTGTTCCAGCTGTTCGACAGGGAGCTGTGCATGCGCCAGCTCCGTTACTCTGGCATGATGGAGACCATAAAGATCCGGAAGGCGGGGTATCCCGTACGCTACACCTTCGGCGAGTTCCTGGACCGCTACCGCGTCCTCCTGAGGACGTCAGTCTGCGATCCCAAAAAAGTGAGTGGGATGTGATTTTTCGAAGAAAAAAAAAAAAGTCATTCTCAAGGTTTCTTACCATCTCTCATCTTTTACATATGTGATGTTATTTTTTAATTTAAACAGGAAAGCAAACAGAAATGCTGCGAAAGCATTTGTGAAAGTGTGCTTACGGGAGAAGGGGACTGGAAAACTGGCAAGACAAAGATATTTCTCAAGGTACTGCCTTACACTCAAACGTGATAGGTGAAAGGTCTTTTAAAGGTTAACAGTATAAATGATTTTTTTTTTTAAACCAAAGTAGTATGATTGATTTGGCTCGTCCAAGTATACTCTAAATGCTTTGATAGTTCAACTCATTTTTACCAATCAAAATGATCAAATAATATTTGTTGTTTTCTTGCAGGACTTCCATGACACAATGCTGGAGGTTGAGCGAATGAAGGAGCTTAACAAGAAAGCCCTTTTGATCCAGAAGGTCCTCAGGGGTTACAAGTACAGGTACAACATGCTGAAGACAGTAAGCTTGTGTTTTTTTCATGTGAGTGGCTGCTTCATCTCTAAATTATGTTCTAAAGGAAACAATTCCTGCGGAAAAGGGCCGCTGCACTAGTCATTCAAAAATACTGGAGAGGACACAAAGGCAGAAAACTGTACAAAGTGGTGAGTTATTATATTTTGACTGGACTATTTACTCATATGATAAGTTAGGCCTGGCGTTTTTTTAAACCTTCAGTCATATTCGCCTTCCAGGTGCAGCTGGGCTTTGCAAGGCTGCAGGCCCAGGCTCGCTCTCGGAAAATCCAACTCCATTATAAGAGGAGACGGGAGGCTGCTCTCGTACTGCAGACCCAAATCCGTGGATACCTGGCCAGGAAGGAATGGAAGCGCAAGCGAGATGCTGTGATTCTGCTGCAGGCACAAACCAGGGGCATGCTAGCAAGAAAAGCTCTGAAAAGAATGAAGAGAGAAGTAAGTTCAGCTCAAAGAACGAAATAGGAAACTTTGCTGTCAGTCTTCAGACCATAATGTCTCCTTTCATTTCATTTATTTTGAAACATGATATGATTTAACAATGTTTACATTGAATGCTTCATAAACATGCATCACGTTTCAATAAGGAGTAGGATGAAGCATAAGCTTGCTTTCAGATTAATTAAAGCACCCCCCTACTGCTACCAACCCCACATATATTTTTTTTTTGCACATTTTGTTCTTTTAAGTCTTCTAAAACAATTTTGTGTAATTGAACTGTAGTTGCTTTACCTGCTTAGATTTATACAGAAATGTGGAATCAAATCTTAAACTCAGATTTTTTCAATAAAAATACATTTATTTAATCTAAAACAGGGACGGTAACGATAATCGATAGTGTAACCCTTTTTCGAACTGCTTAGGTGCAAGAACATAAAAGTGATGATCTCTAGTGTTTAATTTGGATAATTTTTATCTTAAAAATATGTCCTTTAGGGCTAAATTGTTGATAACGTGGAGGTGTTTGACCTTTATGGTGTGTTCTTTCAGATGTACCTCTCTACAAAAGAGAAGGAAGAAGAGCGGCGAGCCATGCTGGAGAAACAGAAATACCTGGAGGAAGTGTTGAAGAAAAAGAGAGAGGAGGATGCCCAAGCACAATTGGAGTCCAAAAGTGACCAGCAGATGGTGGACGATGTCTTTGGCTTCCTTCCCCACATTATCGGGGGGCAGGAGGGGCAGGCACCTGTGGGATTCGAGGTGTGGGAACAGTTTGGCGCTTTTTGTAGGAATACGGGATAAAAGTATGTTAGTTTAATCATGATCATCTGTATGCGTTTTTCAGAACATTGAAGGGAAACGGACTATTATTGAGGAGATAGACATAGATGAGATTCCAATGGTTGAAGATCTTACCCAAGACGATTACGACGATCTGGATGAGTACTCCTTCTCCAAATTTGCGTCCATGTATTTCCAAGGCGCAGCCTCGCACTCCCACATCCGCGACAGGCTTCGACAGCCACTGCTCTCCCATGAGGATGAGGGAGATGTTCTGGTGCTGCTCCTCGATCGCTTTAGTTTTAAAGTTATTTTAGCAGTTTTACGGGTATTTTACCTAACTGTGCCTTTTCTGTTGTTTCTTTCACCAGGCGTCACTCACGGTGTGGTGGATTATCCTGAGATTCATGGGAGACCTCCCTGAACCAAAGAAAAAGGCCGTAGTTCAAGGCACTTCCTCACAGGATCGATTTCTGGCACAGGACTTGATCTCCAGACAAGACAGACGTTTTAGCAACATGGTGGGCCTTGATCAGGTGTGCATCCTCGAGGGATCGGGACACATTTTGAATATTTACACTTTTTTTTTTTCAAGATGAACACAAATCCATCCTAAATATTGAAATTTCTTTTCGTTTAAGAGGATGCTAAGGAACAAAAAAGAGCCCCAGCCTGCTCCAGTATCCAAGGACTCAATGCAGGCAAGAAAGACCTCTGTTTTCACAGACCTTTTGACAAAAAACAGGAAGGGTTCCGCCATGCCCAGCGACACGGCTCAGAATCCAAGGGGGTACACTGTACCAGAAGCTAACCCTCGAGCAAGGAAGGGATCCACGTTCACCGATCTACTGTCAAGGAACAAAAGAGGCGCTGTTCAGGAAAATGGGCCACCAAAATCCGCTTCAAGCATAAGGAAACCCTCCATCATCATGGAGGAGGTAAGGTGGAATTCTTTCACAATGAACCAGCTTTATGTTGCTGTGCACTCACTAATGGAGAGTTATTTTTTATGTTACAGTCCGACAATCTATCCCAAGTGTCTAAGACCAGCACTCTGCAGCCTGTGAGGGAGGGAAGTGATGTCATGATTGGAGAAGGACCCACCTTGGACAGGCCCCTCTCATCTCTTGAGAAACTGCACATCATTGCGTCATATGGCATTATCAGACGCGATCTCAGGTTGATACAGGTTTAACTTCTACATCATGTAAGTCCGCTGTAAATTTATCGGCTAACAAAGCCTTGTCCGTCTAGGGATGAGATTTACTGTCAAATCTGCAAGCAGCTTCAGGACAACAACAACCGCAACAGCTACTTCCGTGGTTGGATCCTGCTCTCACTGTGTTTGGGCGTTTTCCCTCCAAGTGAGCGCTTTTTAAAGGTAAGCATGAGATTTGAACCATCCGCCTTAGTGTTACAAGCCGTGTGCCGCCAGTGTTCGTTAATCAGTTTCACTTTTGCAGTACCTGCAAAGTTTTATCCGCTTTGCTCCGGAGGGCTACGCTTCCTACTGTGCTGAAAGGCTACTCCGCACAATCAAGAATGGAGAGAGGGGGGAACCGCCCGCCTGGCTGGAGCTTCAGGTACGACACTGGCTTAAATTCTGCGCAGTAAATTAGGAGTTTATCTTCTTTAATACGGGGGAAAATTGTCAGTTTAGAAGGCTTCCAAATAAAGACATTATGAAAATGTAGGGTATATGACCAAAAGGGGTGTCCAACATATAAAGCTGGGCCGAAACTGGGTCCTGCAGTAAATACATTGATCCCAAACACAACAAATCAGGAATTAAATGAGTGAGATAAAAAAAAAGATTCAAGAAGCTATAACAGTGTGACAAAATTCCCCTACAACAAAGAGATGGATTACATCAGACTGCAGGTAATCTGTTCAAATTGGTTCTGCCAGAGGTTTCTTCCTCTTAACAGGGAATTGTATTCTTTCCTCTGCAGCATTGTGCATTGTGAGGTTAGGGGGACAGGATTTGAGTGACAATCTTTGGTGCAATCTGATGGTTTTCTTACTGTATGTCAGCAATATATATATTTTTGTCTTATTATTTAAATTGGACCATTTCGAATTTTTTTTATTAGACTGGATCATGTTTACTTGACAATGTCTTGGATTGTAATTGGTCTAAATTTTACAGTATTTTTGTAGTGCCATAAGATGATATTTATTTTTTATTTGAACTGTCTGCTCAATAACCAATGATGAAGTAAAAACCTGCTTTTGAACTGATAAGCATTTGATGATCAGAGTTCTTCTCTTTCTTTCTTCTGGTATTATTTAATAAGACATTTGCTATCTATCTCACCATGTGTTAAATCATTTTAAGCTGTTTATGTAAAAGATGTGGAATTTAGACTGAGTCATTTTTCTCTTGCTTTCGATAGGCAACCAAGACCAAAAAGCCCATGATGGTGTCTCTTGCACTGATGGATCGCCGCTCTATTAACCTTCCAGTCGACTCAGCATCTACATCCAAAGAGATCTGTCAGCTTGTCTCAAGCAAAATCAAACTCAAAGACACCTTTGGCTTTTCTCTCTATGTTGCTATGTATGAAAAGGTATAAAGTCAGGATTGTAAAATGAATGCGTCTCTCAGATTCTCTCAGATTATAACTCTTTGGATTTGTTTAATCCATTTTGTAAATCAGCTAAATTGGGCTACATAATGGAAACCGATGGTATAAATTGTGGACATCTGTTGAAGGTGTGGGCTCTGGGAAGTGGCCGGGAGCACGTGATGGATGCCATCTCCCAGTGTGAGCAGGAAGTGAAAAGGAGGGGAGGCCAGGAGCAGCACGCTCCATGGCGACTCTTCTTCCGTAAGGAGGTCTTCACCCCTTGGCATGACTGCAAAGAGGACAAAATCAGCACAGACCTCATCTACAGGCAGATCATCCACGGTCTGAAGTTTGGAGAGTACCAGACTGAGAAGGTGGGACCATGTCTGTCACAAATAGCAAATTACAATCTTCCAGCCTCACAAGTGACCATTGTTCTCAATTCGTTTCCCTTTCAAAGGAAGATGATATCATTGAGCTTGCGGCAAAGCACTTGTACGTCCAATTTGGCTCAGACAGCAGTCCACAAAATGTGAGAGAGGCTGTTCAGGATTGCATCAACAACAAGCTGCTTGAAGCAAAGTCAGAGGCCAAATGGGTTCAAATGGTCAGCACCGCTCATGCCCAGGTAAGAAAAGTGTGAAATAAAAAGGTCTAATTAGGCTTTGAGCAAATTAAATGTACATTATCTGTGTCTGTTTTGTAAACCGTTCAGTTTCAGAGTTCCGCACACAAAGCTGACTCAGTGAAAGCGGAGCTCGTCAACCATGCCAGAGAGAGGTGGCCGATGTTCTTCTCCAGGTTCTTTGAGGTGACCAAACTGTCAGGTGGGTGTTCTGCTACAATCAAATTTATGCAATGTCCAAATATTCTTCCACAATCTTTTCACGTAAATCTACAAACATTCTGAGATTCAGCTGGACATTTGTAAAGTTGGCAAAAGGCCCGTGGCTACGTGACCTCCATGCATTACTTTGTGTGTTCAACCTTTTGGACAAATTGGGATTGGTCTAGGTTTCATCCACTCTTCTTGTCTTACGAATACGACTGTGCTCGGGGTATTTTGCCCTTTAATAGTAGAAAGTGTGACATCAATAATACAAATAATGGCCAGGCTGGCACAATCACCAGTGCTCAACTTTTTTATTATTTATGTCAACAATTAATGATACCAAAGGACAATGAATCTAACTAGAGGTGTAATAATTTAACTACATCTCGTTTAGTTTTTTTCCCGAAGTTGACAACATTTACTTTTCTCCACTGAACTGGATTAATTGGGTTTGTATTTTTTCATGGCTATTCTTAGGCCCCCCACTGCCAAAGAAAAGTTTCATAGTGGCTGTAAACTGGACTGGTTTAACGTTCCTAGATGAAAGGGAGAAGAGACTGTTGGAACTCACCTTTCCAGAAGTCACTGGAGTCAACTTCATAAAGTAAAGATATTTCTGATGAATCTATTACAACTGGTGTAAAAGAAGAAAATTTGATCTTCTAAAAAATGATACAAGTTTGTAAGCTTTGTGGGTATTTCTTTCCTCAGGGAGAGTAAAGTATCTGGTCAGACTGTTTGTCTGCTGACACTGAAAGGCGACTTCACCCTGAGCGGATCAACAGCCGAGGACTTGAGCGAGTTGGTTACCATGTTCCTCAGCGGACTCTCCGAGCGTTCTCAGTATGCTGTGGCAATAAAAGAAGTAATCAGCCAAGGTTGGACTGCTTATTTTCACCCTCTCGCAGCTGCGTTATTTGTTTTAGACGATTTACGACTGGCTTATTTCTCGGTCATCCTCTGCTTCTCTTTAGATGACCCTACACTGCTCAGCTTCAAGAGAGGAGAGCTTATCATTCTCATCAAAGACAATGAGTTTTCTCAGCAGCGTGGATGGCTAAAGGGTCAAAATAACAGCACTGGGAAGACGGGAGCAGTCCCAAATGAGGCCATTTTAATCTTGCCAACGCTCAGCAAACCCACCAATGAGGTCATGGTATGCAAACTTTATGTCACACCTTTCCCATGTGCATTAATGGCCATCTGTTCTGTTACAAATTAAATATCCCCCCACTACTTATTTCAGAGCCTCCTCAACCTGTCGCCAAACCAGAGGAAGACCTTAATACAGGCAAATCAGAAAGACACCGGCACTATGGAGCGACTAGCTCCTGCCACACTCAAAGAGTTCTCTCTCGAGTATTTCAGGTGACACTTTGCTCTTTTTAACCTCAACCTTCAACCTTTTTCTGACCAACCGGCCAGCAGGTTAGTTACCTGTTGATAATTGATGATGGCAGCAATATTATTTGATCCTACAGGCAGCCAACGAAGGACGTGAACCAGCAAGTGATATCTAGGAACGCTGCTCCCGAGAGGCTGTGGGCCCACTCAAGAGAGCCAATCAGACAGCCTCTCCTCAAGAAGCTGGTGGGGCACTCGGAGTATAGCCACAAAGCGTGTCAGGCTTTCACTGATATCCTCTGCTGAGTGGAAAAATAGAACTTTAAACCAGTATTGTTTATCAAACAGTTTGACCGTACATTTTTTGGATTCTTCTGGGAAGCCCCCTCATTGCTTTTTATGTGTCCGTGTTTGTATGTGTGTGAGGATAGGAATTTGCTGAGGTGACCCAGGATCTTTTTTGTACCTCTTACTGAAGAGAATGATTTTTCTCCGCAGGTTTTAAATATCTTTAAGTTTTTTAAATATGCCAACAGGCAATGCAATGAATATCTGACTGTTTAGACAAATCCTGAGGACAAAATAGCAATCTCAAACTCATATTCAATATACTATTTAAGTAGGCATATTGAGAGGATATATTTATACTAAATACATGCAATAATCAAAGGACCTCAGGGATGTAGTGCAACATTATATTTATAGATTTTTTTAACAGAGAATGTACTGCTCCGTTCATAGCAGATGGCTTTTGGTTGGGGTGAAGTGAGTCCATTTACTCATCCCTACCACTCTCTTCTGTGGAGTGTTGTCTCTTTTAAATCAGTATTACGTATTTGTCCTTTCATGCAAACATCAATAACTCTTGTTTTACCCCGAGAGCTTCCACTATCGCATCCCACTGAGAGAAGAATGTTTATCATGCAGTTTTATTGTCATATACTCACACTTCCCTTGTGTGCAGTTTAGCCACAGAGAACTGGTTCTGGACCTTCTTTTAAGTCACAATCATATCGTGAGTCATGCCTTGAACTTGCTCTGGTAGGTAAAGCACAGCATCACTAACAGAAACAATGGAGTTAAGTAGTTTCCTAATGCCTGCCAGCACATATACAGACTAAAACCCTATAAAATTCTTCCAGACAATAACGGCACCAGCTTTACACAACTTCTCTGGTGTTACAAACCTGTTCTAACTCCACTCATTCTGAAATTGTTTGGCGTTTGCAAAGACAGTAGTTTATATTTTACATAGAACACCAGGACCTTCCAGCCCTGAGACACACGTTCCATTTCCAGAGTTTTTCTACAGCAGAAGACTTAGTATAATTTGTCCTTGACTGTTGCGTACCGATCCTGAAGTATATGGGAGATTACCCCACCAGGCAGATGCAGACTTCCCTAGAGCTCACCGACGTAATCTTCGGCGCCGCCACTAAAAACGAGGCACTCCGAGATGAGATCTACTGCCAGATAATGAAGCAGATGACCAGCAACAACAGCAGGTAGGCCTTATAAACTGCTGTACAATACCATATTAATCTTTGTACTGTATATGCATTCAAACACTTGCATGGTATTGGCTGATTTGATTATTTACAAATATGTTGTTCAACCATCGTCACCAAATGGATCTTAGATTTGAACTTCCTGTAATCTGAATAAAGTTTAGACATTGGCAAATGTTTGTTTTCGTGCAAGAAGAGAAAGGATCCCATGTTCCGGAACATGTTTTTTTTCCCCCAGGTTCAGCATCGAGCAGGGCTGGCAGCTGATGTGGCTCTGCTGTGGACTCTTTCCTCCCAGCCAGTCTCTGTTGAAGCACGCTCAGCGCTTTCTGGAGTCCCGTCGCAGAGAGCCCCTCGCCTCCGACTGCCTGCAACGGCTGCAGAGCTCTCTGAGGTTTGCCCCCCTAACTGTGCTCTACTACATAACCTCATCATGCACGCACAAAAAAGGTGCATGCAGGATATTTATCCCCGTATTTACGAGCTCTCCGGGCAAGTTGCTGGCAGAAGAAACGCTCTCAGGTGTTGCATCACTCTTCCTTTCTTTAACAGCCACCATCACACATCACAACACGACTGCTGCGGTGCGAAGAGGAAATGTCATACCGCCGTGTCTCGTATTTAATCTTTGACAGATAAACTGAGCCAAAGAACCCATTTTATTTTTTACTCTGAGGGCAAGTTGTTCAGTGAGGCAGAACATGCTGTCAGCAACAGACACCAACACACAGGGCTCTTAATAACAAAACGTTGCATCAGCTTCGCAGCAGGACAACAACCCTGCTGTGAAGTATTTGCATGGTCCCTATAAATACGTTGGATTTGCATTTGGTGGCTTTATAAACAGTGACAATAGGCTTTAAGAAACGTAACTCTTATTGGTGTGTTTCAGTATTCAGCACAAAGTAATGTAAAGTAAAGTAAAGTCAAACTCGCACCTAATGTAAGAAACTGTTTTTTTTTTAAATAGTGAATTGGAAAATAAGCACTCATGTATTTAATATGAGATTTAATATGTCAGGACATAATGATGCTATGTCAAGGCAAACGGATTCCATAGGAATTAAAAGTGGAGATTTCGGCCAAATGTTGTCCCTCAAATGCACTTGTAAGTAATCAACAAGAATGTAAAAGCAGAGGTTTTGTTAGTTTGATGGTCTAGAATTCCGGTGTGCGCTAGCAAAATGTTAGGAAAATGGAGGAAAGACATCAGCAATGATTTTAGAGAAGTAGTTTTTGCTGCTGGTTTCTGAAGCCATTTCTAGTGTATTTTGGGTTCATCACTCTGCCGTATAAAAGTGAAAAATAGTCGCCAGTCTGTGGAGACGTGAAAGACTAATGACGTCATATTTCAAATTCTAGCTACCAACGTAGATTGTATAAGCTTTTAAGTCTTCTTTTTCCACACACTGCCTCTGTGTTTGGCTTAGCTTTTTATCCCAAGGAATGAAAAGGTGTGTAAAATGTTGAGTTTTGTTTTGACCTCAGTTTCACTTCTGGTAAAAAAAAATAACATGGTTTTGTGATGACTAGATGAAGGGGGCACAGTGGACAGGCATGAAAGATGTCCTAATGGGACACCTATTGTCTACATCTATGTTGTTATTAAGGATTTGGTCTGTTCCAGGATGGAACCCAGAAAGCTACCACCACACCAGGTAGAGGTGGACGCCATCCAACAGAACAGCACCAAAATCTTCCACAAAATTCACTTCCCCAACGACTCGGATGAGGTACGAACATGGACTTGGTTTATTTTTAAAATTAGAGTAGAAAAAAAGAAAAAAAATTGGACTGGTTGGACAACAACAGCTCATTCGCTGGGATTCTTTTCGTTAAACCAGTAGTTCCTGTTGCCTCTCTCCAGGTATTTGAGGTAGCGACCAGCACCAGGATCAGAGATCTCATCCAGACCGTTTCCAAAAAGCTGAAGCTGCTTTCAGAAGATGGCTTTAGCCTTTTTGTCAAAACACACGACAAGGTCTGACCTTGAGTGATTCTAAATGTGAATTTTTTACAATTTCAAGAAACCATTTGCCCTCTTGTGACTGAAAAAAGTCTAATTTTATCCATATAATTTCAGGTTTTTAGTTTAAATGACACTGACTACTTCTTTGACAGTCTGAGACAAATCACTGACTGGTCCAAGAAAGTCAAGAGGATCAAAGATGGTAACTATATATGAGATGATTGTAGAGAAAGTGGGATTTTTTTATGTTTGGACTAAATATATCTGTAAAATCTATGTGTGTGTGTATTCCGCAGGTGGGCCAGTCAACATAGCCTACCTTGTGTTCTTTATGAGGAAGTTGTGGTTTAATGTGGTCCCTGGCAGAGACATAGAGGCTGATCTTATCTTCCATTTCCCTCAGGTACATTTAAATAAGCAGCTCACATTTTCCAGCCTGACCGTTTTTTTGGGGTGTTTTTTTTGCATTTTCATTCGCATAATCCTACCCGGCACACAGAAGAGATAGTGCCAACATAAACAGTTAGTGATAGAGACCAAGCATCCAAGTGGAAAAAAAGTTATTTTTGTACAAGGCAGTATCATAGAAAGATAATCATTTGGATTGACAGTTAGCTCTTGTCTGGTATAAATGCCTGAATTAACCAGCTTGCTCATATCTTGCAGGAGTTGCCCAAGTATCTCAGAGGCTATCATGTTTGTAGTAGAGAGGACATGGTGAACATCGCAGCTCTGCTCTTCAGGGTAAAAGTGGGAAGTGACAAGAACCAATTTGTCACCATTCCCAAGATGCTGAAGGAGCTGGTGCCTGCTGACTCACTTAAAGCCCTGTCTGAAAACGACTGGAAGAAGGTACAAGAGCTTAATCTCTTATTTTCAACTGATTTAACCAAAAATGCCCAAACCAGTAACGCAGCTATCTGTGCTTTTTGCCATACTCATCCCACTCTAATGATAAATCTTGTTGTTAGTCACTCAGTGAGACTCCTTGTGGGATGAAACCTCCAATAATCTGCTACATACCACATCTGAATAAACAGAGAGAATCTTTGAGGTTAGAGGGAAATGGGAAGGAGATACTTTATAAACAAGAGTTGTAGGCGGATTCCTTGCAAAGTGATATTTGAATTATCCAAAACTCAAGGCCTTCCTGAATCACACTCCTCTGTTAGTATATAGAGAACATAATTCTCCAAAATATCAGACCTTGTAGGCACCAAAAAGTTTTGTCCCTCACGTTTATTTGGCTTAAATAGGGGCCATAGCACTAGCTTAACAGCTGCATAGATCTTTATGTTTTAAGTCATAAAACAAATGTATCTGGTTCATCTGGTACTCAACACGTCTCTAAAGAACATGATATGACAAATACATCCTCATACAAACAATATATGGCATCATTTACTGAACAAAATAAAGTGAGCAACGTTAAAGTACTGTCATAAGCGGTGTTAAACTGATGTAATCAAGTTCTCATAATCGTCGACATGTTAATGCTGACGTCTTTAGTTTAGTTTCCTCTGCTTATGCGCCTTGAACAGATTAATTTTTAAAGTACCTAATAGAATTTCCTAACATGACTGTGACGACTGCTTTAGGATGTTCACTGACTTTGAATGAGCCATCGTGATTTCGAAAAGGGTTTTTTTCCACTTACGACAACACCTCAACTCTGTGGTACAGAAGAATGAAATGTGTCATGTTAAATGTTAGCCTTGGTCTTTATTTTTTAATGGGATTTCTTTATGTTTTGAAAAAGAAACGGATATAGAGCCAATCATGCTTTGGGCATACCCTGAACAAAAACAACTGACTTCATTCAAAGAAGCAGATTAAAAGAAAATACAAATGTTGTGTGTTTTTATATTTTCAGAGTATTGTCACCATGTACAACAAACAAGGTGGAATGAGTGTTGATGAGGCAAAAGTGGCGTTTCTGAAAGTGGTTTGCCGCTGGCCGACATTTGGCTGTGCTTTCTTCGAAGTGAAGGTACGCGCTGGCTAATCTTGCAATCTTGCTTCTAGAGCTCGTGTAGCACATTTAGCGGAAAGCAGACAAAATGCAGCAAGGAAACATTTTGTCACTTGCCCCTACAACTTTGTTTTTCAGCAAACATCTGAGAAAAAATTCCCGGATATCGTGCAAATAGCCATCAGCAAGCAAGGAGTTACGATCATTCACCCAAAAACCAAGGTTTTAGTCTTTAAATTTTTTATTTGAGGGGATTTAATTCAAAATCACAATCTTAACCATCATCATTTCTTTTAAACCTCATTCCAGGAGGTGCTGGACAATCATCCTTTCAACCGCATTGCGAACTGGTGCAGTGGAAGCACTTACTTTCACATGACTGTTGGCAGCTTGGTCAAGGGCAGCAAATTCCTTTGTGAAACTTCACTGGTAAGCTGTCACCACAAATGTGTTGAACTGGCTCATGGCTGTGGGTGTATTATTTCTGTCCCCTATTCACAACGTGCTGTATTCGTTTGAAAAGGGTTACAAGATGGATGATCTAATAACTTCGTATGTCAACATGTACCTGAGGGAGCGGAAGGCGATGCAAACCAGGAACCAGCGCTTCGACATGTGAAGACAGTGGGGCAAGAGTTTATGTCGGTGTTTTGAAGGATCAGTCAAATGTGTCTGTGCTATTTGTTTTTAAAAAATTGATTGATTTATTTCTTTAAACTAAGTGGAAGTCAATTTCTTGAAGGAAAAGTTCTAAAGCCATTTAATATGTAAATGTCCATGCACTTATATAGCGCTTTTCTAGTCAGGTTCACTACTCAAAGTGCTCTACACTACGTGGTATTCACCATTCACACACTGGTTACACCAGTGGGCACACCAGATGCTTGGGGTTCAGAGCCTTGCCCAAGGACTCTTCGACATGTGGCCCTGGAGGAACATGGAGCTAAACCACTGACCCTCCAATCGGTCAGCAATTGCTCTTTCCTCCTGAGCCACAGCCGCCCAACCAAGCAAAGCAGCAAGTCTCTACTACTGCTTTGCTGCTCTCTTGTTTCCAGACTGGATGGTTGCACTCTGCACTGTGTGTGTGCTCTTCCGCACTCTGGTTGTCTTTGTTCTGTTCTTCTGAAACCCATGGAATCCCAATTACAGAGAAAATTGTGTCACATTGCGCAATAATGCACAGCAAACAAAGGCATCGTGGACTCAGTTTTAGATGATTTCATTGGGAAATATCAATACTGTGAACCCAACCCAAACATAACAAATGCTGTTAATTCGGTAGTAACAATAAATTCAATAAGTAAAGCTTAATTCTTTCCTTTATTGCTTCAAAAAATAAACTTAACTGGTGATGACTGACCACTATGTGAAGCAGCAAACTAGCTTCCTCACACCTGTGGAAGAGGAGAAAGAAGGGCTGCAGGCTCTGTTGTATGTGGGGCGTTTGCATTTTCAGAGTTGGTTGAAAACCAGAGGTCAAGAGTAACATGCAGGCCATTTGGAGAGAAACAAACTCATCAAAGGATACATTTGTATTGAGCATATAGGGCTTAAATCGGGGCACACAGTAAGGATTAAAAGATCATAATTCTTCAAGCATTTGCTTGGAGGTTTTGCTCACATGGGCTGGATTGCAGTTGTCTGTAGTTTAAAGACAGGCTCTATCATGAAAAAGGATCTACAAGTGCCCAGCAAAAGTCACAAATGCTGAATGTAAAGTGAAATTCCTTTTTTTTTTGTTGCAAATCGTCGAATCCTTAACCAAACATTGCTTACTTGTCTGTTGGCTAGCTTTCGGTCTCTTTTGCTGCCTTTGTTGGAACTTTGTTAAGCTTCCGTGGGGCCCACTGCCTCCGACTATTGATAACTGGATTGTTGTGAAACCAGCCTCACAGGGTGAAGTGCCCCCCCTCCACTCGCTCATGTACTACATACACAAAAGTAAAACCCGCTAATTGAAACATTGCTCGTGAAACGTTGCATCGTTTGTTTATTCAATGTACCTACGGCCACATTCATTGATGAGATCAAATAAAACCTTTTTCCTATTGAAAGTGTGTTGATTCTGTGAGGTTGAAAATTACTTCTATAATGATGATTCTCAAAACAATCCACATAGACAAAACCTTCATTTTCCTGTTTGTTTTGCATGTAAATGCTTGCATCAATGCCTTCATTTTTATTTTTTTTTAAGTGTGTCTGTTTTTGATACTGAGTTTCTCGTGTCTAACAGCCAGCTGGGGCAGACTCTTTCCAGCAGCAAGAAGAATGTCCGATTGTACGCGTGATACGTTCACAAGGAAATGTTTTTGCTGCAGGGTAACCAGACGCACAGCAGACAAAGTAGAGAAGCCAAACAAAGACGCGGGATCTATCCCAATTAGTGGCTGGCGGTGGATTAACAGGGTAGCGATGTCAAAGCGTCCACACAGTCCTGAGCAGATAGTGTCTTCATTCAAGTCTACAGAATCCCATTAGCATATCGATGATACGGAGAAGAAAAAGGGATGATGTGTCTGAAACACAGCTGTGGAGACCGCATATAACAGAAATATTATCCCCCCTCAGCCAGAGGGCCCTTTCTCCACATCTGTCCGATGGCTATGTGACTGATTATTTTGGGCATTCCAATTCAAAAATTCTCCCTGGAGGCTAGAGAGCAACAAGGGCCTCTGTTTTTAGCACGAGCCCCCCCCTCCCCTCCCTCTCACGCTTGTTTTTTTCTTCTTCCAGCAGTCCTATAGGGCATGGGGCCTCTTTAGAATTGGACAGACCATCCACAAAACGATCATCTGTGAGACTTCAGTCTTCAGTCATAAACTTCACAGTTGATAACACAGTTCATCTTCTTTCTATCAGCGGGGGGGTGGGAGTTGGGGGCGCAGGCACTCCGTGCACCGCTAAGCCCGGTTGCCATAGAATCTTGCCCGACAACAGTTTTCAGACTGAGGCATGCCATTCTTCTTTCCTGCTGCTAAAACGCGCCGCTCATTCTGACTCAAACTATTGTGGAGCGCACAAGTGGCCCTCTGAGGAGAAGGGGATGGAGACAGAAAGGGTGGGGTCAGGGTTCAAACGAAAGGCTCCCATCAGGACTCCCTTTCTATTATCAAATTTGTTGCGAGACAAAAAGAGCTACAGTCTCATTCCTGAGGACATCTTGAGGGGAGAGAAGAGAGGTTAGAGGACAGCGTTCTTTGTGTCGGAGCCCCATTTCTTCCACAGAGCTGCAGATAAACTTGTTGTCTCCTCACTGGTCCACACACAGCTCCCTGCTCCTGCTCTGACTGCCGTCTGCTCTACTTGCAAGCAACAAACTTTTTCCTTTCAGGAGTTCTGGTAAGTTCTCTTTTGAGCCATTCACTATTTTTGCTTTACCATTCAAAAAGCAATTTATATGTGTGGTGCGGGACAAAATGTAGATTGCTTTGAAAGAAGAATGATTGGACTCACAAGTACATTTTTAGTAAGATTAACTGTTTTTTATGTACCATTTTAGTCATTTTGGTGTTTTTTTTTACCTATTTTTGAAGGAATAGCATCCTATCGCCATCTTTTAAGGTTCAATGTCAGATTTTAATTTAATCCAGTTACCAAATTTCACATTAATTTATTCCAGTTAACAATGGTGAATTGGGCACATTACAGCTGTCTCAGTGAAGAAAAGCATCCATGCCAGGATACTGAGCCTGCACAGATCTGCGTAACCAGATCATTGTGGAGGCAAATTTCAGGATTGTCTCTCTCTTGGATTATCCCTCAGAGAGTCGCATGCAAGGAGGCTTTTTCATTCAGCTCTTTCGCTCTCGGTTTGTTATCCCTGCTGGGGCTGCGGTCCTTTTCTTTTGGGAGAATGAAAGCTTAGAGTCTGAACCTTGGCTGAGAATTGCCTTTGGTTGTGGGTCTCACATTGCTTACTAAAAAAAAAAAAAAACTATGCTGCTACATCTGGGTGGCTCCTAATGGAAATACATGAATTCCAGTAGGACAAAGACAATCCTTATTGTTCTTGTAGTGTTATTCAATTGTACTTCCCAGTTTTTTAGCAAGAGAAATCCGACCTGTGGGATGACAGATTCATTAGTTGCACATGTTCTGATGTTTGCATTGGAACCAACACAAATACTGAAGGGAATGCAAACAAGAAGCCTTGCCTTGTTTTACTCAGTCTGACTTTGTTCTTCACACCCCGGCATACTGTATATATTTTTAGACTGCTGATGAAAGCAAGAGACAGAAGAGGCAGAAAGATAAAGATAGTGAACAGCTGGAATGAATCATTTACAGGTGTGGCTAAATAGTTGGACACAGTATTCAAACCTGTACGGAAAAATGGGAATGTACTGTTTTAGTTGCATTTTAAAACCTTTAATCATTGAATTAAACCAAAAACTTGCATTTAGGATAAGGAACTTAAACATCTCAACTGACCATTGTCTTCTAACCAACTTTATCATGATAATGAGCAGAACATTGTCATCTAGACTTGTCAAAGTAATTATTTTCAAGTAAGAATGTAAATGAAGTTTATTTAGAAGATCAATGATCACATCAATGAGTTTTCCATGAATCTGTGCCTTACAAACCGGTCGCATGTCAAAATAAACATCTGACAAAGCCTGAAGTGAATAACTCATCTTGAAAAGCTCTGCTAGTTTTTTTCATCATTGTCTTGTGTTTTCTTTCAGATTTTTTACTTGTCTCCCACCTTTATAATGTCTGTCAGCTAACTATGTGTGTATACATGTACATTTCCTTTGTGCTTTGTTATTTATTGATTTTATTCTGTGCAGGTTTCTCTCCATTGCTAAGTCAACTTGGGCTTCTTTGCTCTGCTTTGGAAAAACTCATTAACTAGCAAGTCCCATGGCTTACTTATACACATTCAACGTTTTTGGTACCCTGACTTTACATGAAAAGGTCTGATAGACTTTGTTAACTTTGATACTGATTTACAGGGTAGCAACCCAGGGTGTATAAACAAGCCAAACCCACATGAAATACTTATTAGCTAGCTTTGTCTGTTCTGTCAGGAGTATTTGTTTTAATCTGCCAACATAGTTACACACAATGGCACCAACACAAAAGTGTGTATGCATTTTGACACTATGATGTTACATACTGAATTTTGTTACAGTATTATGATGAATACAAAGGTTAAAACTGCCCTGTACAGTCATTAGTTTTAACGACTAAGATCAAAAAGAGGAGTTAATGAGTGTATCTGACTTTCTGGACTTTGTGGAGACAAAGATCAGAATGAAGCAATTATGTGTCCTGAGGGCAGTTGGTGCATTAATTACATAATTAGTACATAATTGGAGACACTGATGTTCATTGTGACCTTGTGAGACTGGCAGTGTGACAAAAACCTTCCCTGCCTGTGGCCTGTTTTGTTTGGGTGAACAGAATTCAGCTAGCAAGCTTTCTTTTCACTTGGGTAGTTTTCTTTCAGAATACGAACAATTAACTTTCCATCTTTCTATTTTTTTGCATTCAAAAGTTAAATGCATGTAAAAACAATCAGATTGTTCTGTAGTCTGCAATTGATGCAAATACCTAACCTTATATATGCAGTAAACATATGAAAGATACTTTATTTATAAGAAAGAAAACTGTTTTTTTTTCAAATGAGCTTTTAAGGTACGATAACTGCAATTTCTCTGTCTCCCCAGGCACAATAATGGAGTCCAACACAATGTATCTGACACTGCTGTCAAACCAGTCTTCAGCAATCTGTGCTTCAACAGAGGCAACAATTGAGAATCAGCTCTTTGGATGGTACTACATTGTGGTTTTTGTTCTGGCGCTGAGTGGCAACGGCATTGCTCTCTGGATCTTTTCTCGCCAACGCGGGGTCTCCTCCCCGGCTAATGTCTTCCTGATCCATCTGGCTGTAGCGGATCTATCCTACGTGATAATCCTCCCGCTCAGAGCCACCTACCACTTCACGGGAGGCCACTGGCCTTTGGGCGAGATTCCCTGCCGGGCGGTGGGCTTTTTGTTTTACGTCAACATGTATGCCAGCCTGTACTTTCTGGCCTGCGTGGCGGCGGATCGCTACCTGGCCGTGGTTCACGCCGTGCGGTCGCTAAAAGTCCGTCACAGTCGCTATGCTCACATCATCAGCTTCTCCTTGTGGGCCCTGGTCACTGTCTCCATGGCTCCGCTGCTTGTCACCCATCAGACCGCGCAGGTGGACAACACAACGGTATGTCTGCAGCTGTACCGAGAGAAGGCCTCGCGCAATGCGCTAATCTCCCTGGCCATAGCGTTCACGCCACCTTTCCTGGCTACCCTGTCTTGCTACCTCCTCATCATCAACAGCCTGCATCGGGGTTCCAGGCTGGAGCCGGCTCTGAAGCTCAGGGCTCTGCGGACCATCGGCGTGGTCATGCTCATTTACGTGGTCTGCTTCCTGCCTTACCACATGAGCAGGGTCACTTTCATCCTGGGCTACAGCCATCCCGACGTCTCCTGCCAGACACGCAGAGCCCTGAGCATGGCCAACCGGATCACCTCTTCCCTCACCTGCCTCAACGGCGCCATGGACCCGCTGGTCTACCTGTTCGGGGCGGAGAAGTTCCGCGGCACCTTGAGGCGATTGCTTTGCAAGGATAAGGCGGGGATGTCTACGGCCACTAGCGGAGAGTTGAAGGGAACGCATGAAAGCTCCCTGAGTGCTAAGTCCGAGTTCTGAGGAAAAACGGGTGTCAACACGATCTGTGTCGTTCCAAATACTTTTCAGCAGGATCAAATCAAAGCCCAGCTCTGGTACCCATCCCACAGCTAGTTCAAGGAACCCCTTAGGGTCCAATACAACTTCTATGCTTTAAAGGGGGTGTCAGGACTTAAAAACGCTATATTTAGTGGCTTGTAAATTGCATATTTCTTGAGCGTGACTAAAAGTAAAGTAAGCATGTTAGCATACTATGCATACTATGTTACATGTTATTCAGCATGGTTCTATTCTTGTAGTTTTATTGTAATCATCTTTGATTTTTTCATGTGTTGTAGGTGGTTTGAATGTTGGTGTTAAGCAATGTATCTATGATATTATCATGTTGGAGAAGCAGGGGTAAAATCTGAGTTAATGCTAGTGTTATCTACAAAGCTCTGTTAATTCATCGAAACTGTTACTTTTCTTTTTCTTTTTCTTTTTCAAATGGACAACCAGAAGCTGATCAGAAGGGAGTGAATTTACCTTTTGAACCAATCATGGTCTGTAAAATGCACTGACTTACCATTTAAATGAAGAAACAATTAATTTTGAAATGGTACTTAACTGGAGCGCAGGGTGACTCTTTTCAAATGACCAAAGTCTTAAAATGTGTTTTTTTTTTTTAAGTGAAGGAAATTCTACATAAATATTTCCGATCAAATATTGGAAGATTTAAATGTAGGATTGCGCTGAGTTCATGAATAAAAATGTGAATGTGGTTTTCTGTTTTCTCTTCTGGTACATGAGTTCTCCCTGGTTATGTAATTTTGTATATTAGCTCAAGTTTTTTCAACCGCCTATTGGAAGGTTGAGGAAAAATTGGGGGGCGGAGTCAATGTGATTACCTGGCTTGAAGTAATTAATTAAGTAATTCAATGTAACATTGACATTTGATGACCACAAAACGATGTAAAAATGTACATACTGATCATTTAATGTATATTTCAATGTGTAATTCCTTTTTATATTTTGCTCCATAAGCCAATGAAATGGATGCTAATTTGTTTTTACTGTACACCTTGCTTTTATTAAAGTTCAAAGTGTGTTTACAACTATGGGTAGCATGACCCTTTATTCCCAACTGAAATATCTATAATGGAATAGGGAAATAGGAACATCTTAATAACACTGAACTTTTTTTTGGTTGTTTTTTCCTTTATTGACATACCCGGTCAAGTTGAATAGTTTTCCCAGTACTGGTCAATATGAAAAACAGAGACTTAAGATTTGTATTCACATGAATTACATATCTTTTTAATAATGCCTGCAACTGACTTTAACTTTAAGACTTCCAGAATTTTTTTGTTATTGTTTATTATCAGTTGTCTGAATCCAGAGGTTATGACCCATTTTTGAGAGAATATCTTTTTTAGTAAACTACCACAAGACATTAGCGTTATGTTTCTGATGTACTGTATTATGCAGCTTTTGAAAAGGTCCTCCATGCTACCGCTGTGTTACTATTGCATGGAAAGTAACTTTTATATCTGACTTATGCATAAAATAGGGATATCTGAGAAAGGGAGAATTAGACAAATTGGGTGTCATCAGAATGTTCTTCAGCAGAATTACATACAACCAAATATCTGCTTTTCAGTGTTGTTGCAGGACAGTGTCATGAACTCATAATTTAATTTTTTCAGATATCCTTCCCGAAAACAAAAGTGTGATTTTGTGTCATACGAGTTGGTGTTGACGTCCTCTCCGTGAAAGTGGTGGAGCTATTTGCAGGGGCAGAAACCTCCAAGGGTGCAGTGACTCGTCACAATCTAGTTCTGTTTTTGTATCATGTGACCAGCGTTGTGGTTTGTGAGCGGCTTTTTTTCCCCTCCTCTTATTTCTGCAAGACTTCCTGTCCATCACATGAAAACAGCAAACCATGCTAAACTTGTATTTCCTGAATGTGTATGCACCAGAGAACCTGCCCCACTGATTTATTCATTAAAAGCATGGATTTTAAACCTGGGCCAGTAGATATGGAGAAATGTGTGTGCTTTTTTTTTTTTATTGTCATAGAGTTCAAAGCTAGAGCGCTTAAAAAAAAAAAAAAAAAGCAACCTGAAACCACATGAAACTTCTTCTTTTGTAAACTTTAACTAACCGCGACAACTTATTTATTTATTTTCCTTTTTTTTTTACTTACCATTTTAAGTTTGCTTAATCTTTTACATGACACCACCACTTCCTGAACAGTTCTCATTAACTTGTATATATATACACAACCTAAAACAGAGAGATGTGTTGGTTAATCATTAGAATAATGTAATGGAGACTGCTTCTGTGCAAGCCAAAGTCTGCATTTCCATTTTACAGCTATGGGGATCTGTCGTACGGCAGGCAGAGTGGAGGCACCAGGGCCCTCCTCTCTGTAACAGCTCAAATGAGGAAGTTCAGAGTAGAGCTAGTCGCAGCTTCCTTTTACAGAATAAGAAGGCAGAGGATGATCAAGTGAAAGAAAGAACTTCAAGTACGCACCAGGAAAAGATGAAAACCGCCAAAGAATAGAAACATTGGACCTACGGTACAGAGTTTTGCTTTTTGAGCGAGCGCGGATGCAGTTTTGAATTTTGGGTTGAGAAACAGGATGCCAAGTTATCAACCGTGGTACCATGGAAATATAACCCGATCCACAGCTGAGAATCTGCTCTCCAAGGCAGCAAGAGATGGAAGCTTCCTTATCCGGGCCAGTGAGTCCATTCAGGGAGCGTATGCACTCTGTGTTCTGTAAGTTACTTGCACTGATGTCACACACACACACACAAACACACATATATATGTTTCAATGTCATTCATGTAGCAGTCAATTGAAGTTTTCATAAGATGTCAGTGGGTTGGGGTCCTTGTTTATGGCATGTAGTTTGTAACTAGTGAAATTATATGTGGTTGTTCATGCTAATTTAATATAACCGTGCATTGTTAAAGTAAAATGTTTCAAAAATAAAAAAAACTCCCAGCTGTCTTTCACTGTTTCATATCACTTTTTTTGCACACTGCAACCCAAAAGTAGTTCCCCTTTATTTACATTCTGTTCTGCCACAAAGCAACACCCATCGCTGTCTACATCACCCTTTTTTGCACACTCTTTCAGTTGCTAACTTTAATTTCAAATGTGACTAGAACTACTCTGTTTCCAAATTCCAAGCGTTGACAATCCTCGCTCACATGTACAATATTTCTACCACTACTGTGCATTTCCCAGTGACAAAGATTTGCATGTCATTTCTAAATACAGATACCAGAACTGTGTGTACACATACAGAATCCTGCCAAATGAGGACAAGAAACTCTCTGTCCAGGTACGTGGGCCATTCAAAACAAACAAATTTTTCCGGTAAAAAGTCCTTCAATTGTATTAACTATGCCTCTGACAATAACAGAGAAGCTTTCACACAGCCTTTTTTTTTTGGACACAGCCTGTGAAACTCTAGTGCTGACTGAAAGTTATTTTTATTTATCTAAATATTTCAAGTTACAAAGTCATTTGTGTAATTTCAGATAGCAACTGTTGAATTTCACTAAAACTCGTAGTTCATAGAGGATAAAATCAGACACAATTCCCTGTTTTGGTCCAAGATGCCACAATGAGGTTTACATTTGGATAAAGATTAACCATCAGTGAAGCCAAAGAGGTTACATATAAAACAAACCCGAGACACTGTACAATAATGGGAGAAGTTGCCGCATTGCCAGGTTTTGACCAATTCTCAAATCAAGCGGTTTCATCCGACTCTTTTATTGTATGCAGCCCAGTTAGTGTTACAGAATCTGCATTTGTGAGGAGGTATGAAACTGCAACATTGGAGGAATGAGGTGTCAGAGTCCATATTCGCTTTCATATTTGTCTTGAAACAAGATTTTTGGCATAACCATTGATACAAATTTTAAGAATTGCTTAATACAGAGCAAACTTCCAATTGACAACTGTGGCATCTCAGTTCAGTTAAATGTGTGGGTGTTTTTAATTATTTATCTTTTTATCATTTGTTTTACCATAAACTGATTTCACAACAAAAACTGAGGACTTCCATTTGGCCCCACTAGTTCAAACTTCTGAAGGTTAAAACTTGATTTTAGGATTAACACCGGTTATAAGGTTAGGTGCTGGTCTATGGCTAATGTAAGGGTTGAATGTGTTGCAAAACGTATGACAAACTATGTTAAGTATCATAGAGTTCAGTGTACGCTGGATGTTTCACACTAGTGTAAGATTTGAAAGGCCAAAGTAGTACCAGCAACTTGATGCTGCTGTGACTAAGGTTTACCAATTATTTTGCTGGCACAGATTAAAAAGCAAATGTAACCCCAGACTGAGGAATGAAGAATACTGGCTCCCTATTTGTCACTGCTTTCTGTATGTTTAAAAGAACAAACCTATTAAATCCACTAGCATACCAGGGAATAGTTAGAGTTTAAAACTCTATTGCTGAAAATTCCCTTAAAAGTAAAATTTATCTGCAAACACCTTCAATAAATTAGCATCTCACTTTCTCAGGGATGCAAGTAATTGTGGTATATTTATCAAAATCTGTAGACTAAACATCACATCCAATGCAAAGTGTGTAATATAATCTGTACCAGGCTTGACAGTTGGTGTGACATGCTTGTGCTTATAGGCTGTGTTACGTTTTCAGCTAATGTCGTGCTGTGGCTCACAGCTTTCCTTAATCGAAAGAGCTTTGTTCTAAGAATTCTTGTGTTTAAACTGTGCTGCCACGTTCTTTTTAGTGAGAAAAGGTTTTATCCTGATAACCATTTCAAATAAGTGACTCTTATTTGTTCTCTTTGTAATTGTACAGCAGTTAATCATAACATTCAAATGCTTATCGAGCATGTGAAATGAGTCTGTTAAGTAGCTCCTGTTTTGAAAAAATATTTTTTCAAAGCATTGCATGGTCTGACTTTAACCTGCTTTGATGTCATATCCTGCCAAGATTGGAAAAACTTTAAAGGTTGCCATATATATCTATAGACATAAAATTGTCCTTTCTTTTTCGCATAATTTTAAAAGATTACATTTAAAAGCCCTTCAAATGACAACAAGTTTGAGCAAATAAAGAGACAGTAGTGTCAAACCCACCAAAATTAGGTGTCTTAAAGATTGCTGTGAACACAGGGAGAACTTAATTCAATACCTTTGGGTGTAGTATTTGAAACAATAAATGGGAAATTATTAATTTTGATGAACTAATGAAACAGCTGAAGTAAAAAAAAACAGTAAATATCTCTCACAACATAGAGGAAATAGATTTATGCGGCCCAGTCATCTTGTTTTGTAACAGAGGACAAAAACAACCATTTCAGAACAACAAAAATACATGCAAATGGACTTTCCCCTTGCCAAAGTTGGCTGAAAATAAGCTATTTCTGCTGCGATTTGCTCTGCAGGCATCTGATGGAGTTCCTATTAGGACCTTCACTATGCTGCCTGAGCTGGTGGAGGCATATTACAGCCCAAACATGGGTCTGATCACACATCTACAGTACCCTGTCCAGAGAGAGGAGGAGGTAGACGAAGACCAAGGTAGCAAAATCTCCCCTTCCATTATTCAGTTAGAAGTTATCACAGAAATTACAATGCATTGCCCATCAAGAAGTCTTGAAGCTCCTTCGTGACTTTGCTTTGCAGAATCCAACAATTCTCCACCACAGCTTCCACCCAGGAACTTCACAGCCGACGGAAAAGAATGTGAAACGAAGACCTCAGAGCAGGCCAGCAAGTCTCTGTCGGACACCTACCTGACGAGACTGCAGCATATGGACTTGTCCATGTACGGTCACACGTATTTTAATTACAATGCAAGTTGTAGCTATTCTTATCAGGTTTTTCTTTATTTAAATATCTCACCTGCAGTGGACAGCATTCTAATCCTCTTGGATTGAAGAATCACTGAGAAGTTATGACACGGGGTACAGAAAAGTGAATGCTAAAAATAAAAAATGAAAACTCAAGGACCAAATTGCTTCCAAAAAGCCATAGTTTGCATCAGACAGTTGCTTACTTTGTCTCGATTTATTCAACCAAAGGTTGAGTAATGGCCTTCAACCACCTTGGTTGGTGGTTGAGGTCTTCCACGCCAATCAACTGTGACCAGATCCCAAAAGACGAAGTTAGAAATTGGGGAAAACTTGGAAAAGCACATAGTTTGCACGTTTTAAATGAGGCAAAAATGAAGATAAGGCATAGAGGCATAGAATAGGCGGCCTACTGGCTTCTTGTCAGAGCCTTTACACACTTCCAGTTGACAAGAAACAGGAATATGCCTTTAATTAAGCTTGTGTGTCATGATTCAAGATTATCGGAGGAGCATCAAACGGCCATCCAAGAATACTTCAGAACCTCAATCAGCTCAGATGCTGAGCGAGCACATAACGGTAACCCTAACCTGCCTGGCCTGAAGAAGCTCCTCATGGCGGTCTGCAAAAATCTAAACAGGTACAGTTTCCAACCGAGAAATATCTAATACCATCCAAAATGCTGTGTTCAAGATTAAGTTGAGGATGCTCTGATATTTTTGTGTGACAGTGAAATTACCCGAATCCTTCCATGTCTGGAGCTCCTTCACAGAGCAATAGATCAGCAGCTGTCACCGGGGATTGGGCCATATCCAAGACAAGTTGGTTGCCTTCATCCCTTACAGCATTATCAGCTCAGTTAAAAATCTGTCTCATCAGAGATTATTTTGTTCGTTTTCAGGTTTTTGTCGATTCAGGACAGTCCATATCCTATAGGCTTGAGCAGCTTACACAATTGCTTTATTCAATAGAGGAAAAGGTAAATTGTGCATATTGTTGTATTACCAAGGGATCATTACTGCTAGTAACACGTGGCAAACTCTTTTCATGCTTCTTCTTTTTTTTTTACAGGCAAAAAGTTCTGTTTTTGAGTCAGTTGGATATGATGGACGTCACAGGAACTCTATCATCCCTGTTGTTATATTTGAGGTACTTCCCAGTGCTTATTATAACCGCCATGAAAAAATAAAAACAGATGGATTACCAGGATGATTACTTTTTGTGTGATGATATTCCCCTTTTATTGGCAGGTCAAACAAGAATCTCTTGGTATTTCCACAAAGATGTTTCTGAAAGTGGATGTTGAGAGTGGGAAGCTCTACCTTAAGAAATCAAAAGATGGGCCCGAAGAAAAATACTTTGTGCATAACAAAAGTAAGGAATCTATCATCTGCTTCATTGGCAGCGTCCTCATGTGAGGACATTGCATTTTCGCCTCTCTTTACCATGATACTAAACTTTTCTTTTGACTTTGACTTCTTGGCCTCATAGTAGATGCTATCAGACACTACTGTTTGAAATCCAAAGTAAAATGGTTTCATACATTTTCAACCAATCATTTTCTTATTGTGTGATTCAAATTGTGTAAATAAGTCATTTGGAACGTCAGAACCAAATTGCAAAAACATTTGATTAAATTTAAACAAACATTTTAAATATAAGATAAACCCTCTGAGCCTATACAAAGAAAAACTACCTGTGCCATGGCAAAGTCTTGTTAATCAACTTATTAGGTGCTACTAATCCCACCAAATAAAAGCTTGGGTCTCAGGAGGTTAAAGTTACAATTTGTCATCCCAACACAATGAATTTAACTACCTTGTCCAGTAGCTTTGTTAAATATTGCGGTGACTCCTAAAGTCTCACTTTACAGCTCTAAACTTTAACAACATTTGGAAGGTTGCTGTTGATTGGCAGCATATAATAAAAATGTCAATTCCAAATGGAAAAAAAATGTCTGCAGCCCACAGGGACAAAAAAGCTGCATCCAATGTCCTCACACCAACCCAGACTGGCATATTCACTCAAAATAAACACGTAACTCAAGCTCTCCCTGGTTCCTGCTTTGGACCAACCTGTACATTTGTTATATCCACTTAATCAGATTCACTTGCAGGGTTCAGGGGTAGACATGACGCCTTCTGAATGCATATTTTTGGATAAGGAGAGGAAGTCAAGTACTCTCATATGTGGTGAAAGTACTTGGTGTCTATGTCTGTAGACTCTTGTTTTTTTTCTACAGCTGCTTAAAGAGTGTTGTCATTATTCCTCAGTCCTGCAGTTGGTGAAATCCCAGAAGATGCATGCCAAGCTTACAATCATGGCAGAGACAGAGAAAGAGAAGATTTTGAAAAAGGAGTTTGTGTTTGATGACACAAAGGTAAGCCTCCTGTTCAGCCTAGAACTAGATGCTAGAGGTGCCATTCCTCGATTTTGTTCCATTTTCAAGATCCAATCTTGTTTTCGACTGTTTCTCCAGAAAAGAGAAGGCTTCTGTCAGCTCCTTCAACAAATGAAGAACAAACACTCAGAGAAGCCCGAACCAGACATGATCACAGTGTTTGTTGGCACTTGGAACATGGGTAAAAAAATAAATAATTGAACGTTCATTTCTGGAGTCTATTTGGTTGGATTGATGTATTAAGAAATTATTCCCGAACCCACAGGAAATGCAGGCCCTCCACAAAACATTGACTCCTGGTTTCAGTGTAAGGGTCAAGGCAAGACGCAAGATGATACGGCAGATCATATCCCACACGATCTCTACGTCATTGGCACCCAAGAGGATCCTTTGGGTGAGAGGGAATGGGCTGACACGGTGAAAGAGGTCCTGAGAAACATCACAAACATTAGCTTTAAACAAGTAAGTGACCGTGACAGGGTGGAAAAGCAAAGTGGAATTCTGCCTCAGAGCGGTGAAGTGCATCTCCAAACATCCAGGTGGCAATTCACACCCTGTGGAACATTCGCATCGTGGTTCTGGCTAAACCTGAGCACGAAAACAGGATCTCCCATATCTTCTCAGACAGTGTGAAAACTGGGATTGCCAACACTTTGGGTGAGTGGTCCACACCTTAACTCGCTGCAAACATAAAGCTTCCCAAAAAAACAATAGTACAAACTGTACATTTTTATTTGTTCCCAGGAAACAAGGGAGCGGTCGGGGTATCCTTCATGTTCAACGGAACATCTTTTGGTTTTGTCAACAGCCACTTAACCTCCGGAAGTGAAAAGAAGCTCAGGTGAGCCACAGATCGCAAGTACGATCTTATAGGTGGATATCACTAAGAGTTTTAAATTAAATCCTTTCTAATAACTGTTTATGCTTGTGGATCACTTTGTATGTCAGGTATATGTCACTACCATGCTGTATGTAGGGTTCTCTACCCAGAAGAGTTGCCTTTATGGTTTGGTAAAAGACCACAGTCATAAAATGCATGTTTACATCAACTGTGGTTATAGCCTTTATGACTGTGGTTGAACATCTCACATTACACCACTGTTTACTCATTTAGTCAGTAGTTCACTTGTACTTAACAATTTTACCTTACCCACCTTATTCTGGGATTTAGAGTTTTCACTTACATATTTTGAGACTCCAGTCATTTGTGGCAAGTTCCCTTTTCTTGTGGCAACTGTTTTTTTTGTAGGCACTTTAGTTTACTCCACTGTGCTTTTGTGTCCAAATCTGGTTGCTTTGTGAGTTAAAATCATAAGAAAAAAAGCTTTATCAGATATTATTTTAAACATTTGTATTGTAATTGTAGACGGAATCAGAATTACACCAACATCCTACGATTTCTGAATCTCGGTGATAAAAAACTCAACCCATTTGACATCACACTTCGTTTCACACACCTTTTCTGGCTTGGAGACTTGAACTATCGTGTCGACTTTCCGTCCACAGTAAGTTGATGATAATTTTCCTTTGAAACATTCTAAGAATGAGAGACTGCTTATATTCGGTTTATTGCTGTTGTCTAATGTGGTGCTGGAGGGAAGTACCAGGTATTTGAAAGGAGTTGTCAGGTTTCTGGGCTTTCAGCTGCTAACAATGTGTCATGAAAAGTGACTATTTCCCTTCACAGGAAGCTGAGTACATTGTGGCCAAGATCAAGCAGCAGCAGTATCAGGAGCTCCTTAATAAAGACCAACTTAGCATGGAGCGGAAAGATGGAAAGGTCTTCTTGCATTTTGGTGAGGTTTGGAGGCCACACAAATAAATCGACACGACACTCTTATTGATTTTTTGTCAATCTAAACACGATTTTTCTCTTCCTTTTTCTATGTAGATGAGGAGGAAATCTCATTTGCGCCCACGTACCGGTTTGAGAGAGAAACACGAGAGAAATACGCCTACACAAAGGCCAAAGCCACAGGGGTAAGCCTCTGTTTAGTGAGATGTCTCTTCCTTGTATGGCTCCTGTCCTGCTCCATGGTGCATAAACATCGAAAGCAACTACACCAGTGGACACACGTCTCATCTGTCTTTCTGGGTTCAAGATATATCGGTCCAAATTTAGGTGAACATTTGATCTCTGAATACAGGCCAGCAAGAATATTTCTTTCTTTTTTTTTTACACACATGATTCACAAGCAGTAGTTCCGAACCATTTATCTTCTTTAAAGTATGTTACAACCTCGTCTACTAAAGTTGTGGCTGTTTTGTATAACGTGCATTCATATGACAAATCCAATCTGCAGACAAAATACAATTTGCCCTCGTGGTGTGATCGCGTCTTGCGGAAGTCATACCCTCTGGTTCATGTCGTCTGTCAAGCATATGGTGAGTAGTTCCCAGCTGTCCTGGTTACTTTTCAGGCGCAAATATTCGATAAACTTTTAGAATATCTTATCCACCAGTCTGGGCCAAATTTTTGGCTAAGAGTATAAATCTGGTTTTGTATTAGAATTAAATGCTGAAAATATTACGTTTACTTTCTTTAAACTGGGTAATTGGCTATGGTAAATGGAGGCAGAGGGGATGAATGAATTGTGCCGCCTTGCCTCATTCGGATTCAAGTCAGTTGACTCATATTGTTTGTTGGTCAAATGGTTCTAACAGAACATTCAGGAAGTGTATTTTTAATAACTGCCCAGCTGACAAATAATGACGGCCCTATTAGGCTCAAATTAAATGTAATTATTTATTGCTGCAGGATGCTGTTGGATCTATGCTTCTTCAGTAAAACCATGAATTGTGATTTGAAAAGAGACCAAAGCCCTACCATGATACGTCCTCTTTGGACAGTAGTGGACGTAACTTATCTCTGTGCAGCATTGACGGATACTCAAAACGTAACTTATTGGTGATACCTGAGGACGATAATGATAATATCCACTGAAGTTAATGATTTGTCTGATAACACTTGCAAAACCTTTCCGTTTTAACTTATTGATGATTTTTTTTAGACTGATTAGTCTTTATTGATTCAAGGGGACATGTTACACTTTTTTTTCCCTTCCATTTATTTAAGTTGGCCATGTTTTGTGCGAAAATATCACATTGTCTCTTTGCTGCTTTTTTAACCCACTTTCTCTACCCTACTCTTAGAATGTTAGCTCTGCACGACAAAGCAGTACTAACCGATTTTAGTTAACTTTTATTGCATTACAATGCTGTGTTCAGTGAGACTGAGGAACTTAAATGACCAACTTTGGACTAGAGAAAAGCTAAATACTTTTGTTGTAAAGATTTACAATATGACAAACAAATCCATGTGAAATCTAACAAGTGATTCCCAAAAATATAATTGTTTTTTCTGAGTTTCTGAGATGATATTAAGTCAAAACACGTAGATAGAAGTTTCATAGTATGTTTTTTTTTTTTATAAGTGAGACTGTTGTTTCTTTTTTCTTAAATGAGTTATTCTTAAGTATCTGAATAGTGCTGTGTGCTGTGTTTGGTACTCAACACTAGCTGTGGTCTAAAACAGATTTAGAAAGCAAAAAAAATCCACCAAGTGCATTTAAATTTGTCAAATCTTTCATGAGTTTTGAACAGACCACAGCAGTTTCTAACAAATGACAAATGTGATGCCACCAGTTTCACATTGAACAAGTATCTAAAAAAAAAGGTATCGTGTCAAGCTGTGCACACCCTGCAGGCTTTTCTCCTTTTATGATTTCCACATCAGTCAGGCCTACGTACCTCAAATACAAATAATGCGAGTGCATTAGGACTGTTAAAGACATTTAAAGACATGTAGAATTGCGCACAGCAGAAAGAGGAAAAAAGCAAACGAAAGTTTCGGACAAAAACTGTGAGTAAGAATGAGGTCAGCCATCTTAATTTGAAAGATATAATAGGCAACTTTGCAAAGCAGAAACTCAGATGAGAGTTTTGGTCGAGTAAGTTTAGGTCTTGACGCAGACACTCACAGACTTTACAGTTGGCCCTGCTAGGCCCCAAATTTGTGTTGTTCTACTGGAACAATAAGTGTGAGTCTTTCTTTTTTCTTATCTGTAAAAACTCATCTATATAACCTAAACCGACTCCAAGTGAGAACCTCATGAAGCTGGCAATAAGTATTTAACCCTTTAAAGCCTGATCCAAGAAGAAAACAAAACTTATTTGGCCTTTTAACAAAATATGTAAAAAGAAAAAACACAAATACATTTAGGATATTAATAATTTATTACCATGCGATAAGTATATCTGATTGTGTACAATAGGATTTTGAGCAAAGTTTTTACCAGTAAAGTATGCAAAAGGTATCAGATGCAAAACACTTCAGAAACCGTATGTATCAAATATGATACATTTGGCTTCACAGGTTTAAATAAGCTCTCACAAAGACAGATAGCAGTAACTTTGAAGTAAGAGATAAGAAAAAAAATCTACGTTTGTTCTAACTTTTCAGTTCATTGGCATTTAATGTGTGCCAGTTTATTTTCATGTTGTCTGTTTTAACTTAGACTTTAGAACAGCTGAGCATAGAGAAAAAACATTAAATGAATGAGCTTGTTCAGACTTTGATCCCGCTCTTTCTTGAAAACCTTTCTTTGACGGCCAGCATGTGACAACGCGCGGTTTGATTATGACTTTGACAACGAGACTTTCCGTTTGACAAAACTGTTTCCCACACAGGTTGCACCAATGACATCATGACGAGTGACCACTCACCAGTTTTCGCCTCGTTTGAGGTTGGAGTTTCCTCGCAGTTTGTCTCAAAGCACGGTGAGATTACCAACCAACCTCAAGTATAGATTAAGTGCTTCAGAACTGTTGCGTCATGCCTTCTTTGGTCCTTTTCAGATCCAAACAGCGCATCTCAAGGTGGAATACAAATCATGAACTGCGTGGCCATCTTGTCGACAAAATCCAAAACTAAGTTTTTCCTGGAATTCCATTCAAGTTGCTTGGAGAGTATGTTTTTTTTTTTCATTTTTGGTGCCTCACATATCTCTGGACTCTCGTCTAATTTGGGAATGATTATTAAAAAACAACATTTCTAACAGAAACGATGAAGACTTTGGAGGGAGAAAACGCAGAACAGTCCAACGGCTCCATTAAAGTTTGGTTTGGCAATCAAGTTGAGGTAAAAATGAATTCAGAGACAAAGAGGATTTGGGTTCTGGCATCTATTAGTTGTTCATTTCGTTGCTTTCTATCTTTCTTCCCCAAGCTCACGCCCATCATTTCTGACCCTGAGTATCTCTTGGACCAGCACATCCTCATTTGTGTAAAATCGACGGATTGCGATGAGTCCTACGGTAAGAAACTGAGCACGCTGTCCAGTTTTTCAGAGATTTGCTCACGGTCAGCCGATATCTCGTTCTCGTAGGAGAGGCCTGCATTGCCCTACGGGCTGCCCAGTTCTGCTACAGGGAGTTTCAGGTCACGCTGACGCACCACGGAGAAAAGACGGGCAGCCTGTCGGGGGGCATCCAGTTACGCACATCTGAAGGAAAACCCACCGAAAAACTATACGGTGAGGCAGGAAATTAGCTCAGGAATAACAGTTCAAGGAGCTCTTTATGTCTCACAACGCGTCGTCTTTCTATCCCCCCTGTTTCAGATTTCATCAAAATCGAAAAAGATGACTCCGTCCCCTTGAAAGGCAAAGCTGGAGATTCCAGGTCAGATATTTTTCCCATAATCATAAAGTAAGTGACGCTGCAAACTTGATTCCGAAGGGGAATTGTTTTTTTTTTTTCTGTCTTCTCCATAGCAGGTCCTCCTTCACGCAGGCGCATGACATTTCAAACCCCAATTACATGGGGGTGTCGTTCAAAAGTGGGAACTCGATAGATAAGGGCTGGAGTTACAGCATCCCACCACGCAATCAGCCCAACGCCGGGCAAGGAGGAAAAGATCCCAAAAAGGCGCGCAGTCCCACAGGAAAACCGGGTTCCACGTGAGTGACACTTTCTCATGCAGATTTACATCTTTTTTTGTAGTTTTTTTTTTTTTTTGCTGATGTATATAGAAAAAGCTGAATTGGTATGACAGCAAAAATATTTAAAATATATGCAATACGACTGGATATTGAGGAAAATATATATTTCCAGCGATCAGACTGACACTGGTCAATTAAAAGTGTGTTGAAGGAATCCTTTGTTCATGCATTTATAGCAATTATGTTTAATATTGGATTCTATTGTGAAGTCTACAAGGTGCTAAAGATTATACGTGTCAAGCTTAGACTCATTCTTTACCCTTAACATACTGAAATACATTCCATTCCATTTGATATTTTTAATGACATTACACACAAATACCTGCTGGTTATTACGTGAGGAACTTTTTAAAAAACATTTCTCTGTTTTTTTAATGTGCATTTGTCTGGGCACAGGACATCATCTGCCCATCTCTGTGCAAGAGGTTTTTAGTGGATATTGCATCTGTTCAAAAATACATTCATACATTCATTTGATGACAGTTTGAAATAATATCATTTTATTTTACCAGCCTTAGATTGCCTATTTATGGGAGAAATACTCTTTGAGCCTGAAATGCAAAAGGGAATTTGTTTATCCAAATTTAAATAAGAGAAAAAGACGAAACATATTCAATTCTCACTGAGTATCTGCTTTTTTGTTCTTGTATTTTTTGTTAGGGGTGAGGATGAAAAGGCATCAGAGATGTTTGACAATCCACTGTATGGCTCAATGGGAAAAGCACACAACCGAGCCAAAGACCAAGACCATCCACCGATAGACCATCTCCAAGTAACGGAATCCCATTTCGCACCCTCGAAAGCAGCAGATGGAGACCCTGACCGACCCCCAGTGCCCGTCCCACGCAACCGCTCCTACACCTGTTCAGAGAACAAGCCTCAGCCTCCAGCTCCCGTCAACCTGACTGTAGCAGCACACAAGAAACCCGTGGTTCCCTCCCGTTCAGAGGCCGGAATGGCACACAGCCGGCCTCCGCTGCCCGCCAAGTCTCGACCAGAACCTCCAATCTCCAAAACCAGAGACTACCGAGACAACTCTGAGCTCCCCAGCAAGCACAGACTGCCCGCACGGCCTGGACAGCCTCACAAAGACAGTAAGAAAAACCTCTCTCTTTCTAGACAAATTCAATAAAAAATGATGATGCCAATTATTTTCCTTTTCTTTAGTGCATCCAGATGGTCCGAAGACGGGTCGTCCATTGAACTGAGAGCCAAACGCAGCCATCGAGTTAACAGCTTCCTGCCATGCATGCCCAAAAATAAAATTCACAAAGTTAAGACTTTAGCCAGTGAACATCATCGTCATGTGAAAAGGGGCAACTAATTTCTCTGAACTTTGGGAAATACTTTTGCTTTTATTTTATAGTCAAAGGATTGATGGATTGCGATACTGAAATTGAATAATAAAGACAGTTACCAGTTTTTCTCTGTTGTTCGTCTGAGTTATTTGTGGAGGGAGATACGTTCTCCTACATGCTTGAAAAACAAGGTACAGGTACTCAATTGCTTCAAATTTCCATTGGAATTTCTGGCTTTATATGTTAGATAATCACTGGAATAGATTTAAAAGTGAATATTTGTTAGCGTGTGAGTTTTTGAAAAATCTCTGCTGTGGAGAAAAGTTCAGTCTAATACAACACCAACATCTCCTGCTTCCCAAAATGATTTCATGTTTCAGTTAATGTATTTGATATATTTTAATTAACTTCATTTTTATTTATCTGTATTGTTATATTGAGAAATAAGTTACAAAGGGCCTCTAAGAAACTTTTTTTTCCTGGTCTGGATTACTGTTTATTTCAGGATTTTCACAGAAGGCCTTGATTTGATTTTTAACTTTATTGAAATGTGACTAGTGGCTCTGCGATGGACTGGCGGACCGTCCAGGGTGTACCCTGCCTCTTGCCCATTGACCACTGGGATAAGCTCCAGTTCCCCCCGCGACCCCATCAGGGAATAAGCGGTTACGATAATGGATGGATGGATATGTGACTATCTGTAGTGATTTGGACATAGATTATATCAGTGGTGGGCCGTCAGGGCCTTCAAGGCCTTCTCTGAAGGCCTAAGAAAATATCTGAATCACAGACTGATGTTAATTATATTTTGTCCATGAAAAGTTATTAAATATCTCTAAATAGTCTGTCAGCTTCCTTTCATAGCTTTCCCCCTGGTTGCGCTGCTTCCAGACATGTATTTTCATATAAAAGCATTTAACCAATCACATTTCAGACATCCTTTGTCGCTAGGCAGGGTCAAAGTCAAAGATGTCTGCCAGGAGGCCTTCACAATCCGTTCTGCAGGCCCCCCCCACAGAAAATACATGTTGAGTACATTGTTGCTTCAACCAATCAGATTTTAGGTTGGTGATGCCAGGGCCTGCGCGAAGGCCCAGGAAATGCCACCGTACCCACACCCGCTGATTGGATAGTCAGATATCCAATGAGGGCAAAGCTAGCAAACAAACCGAAATATAGTTGTGTTGGTGTAAAAGCTATTTTATTATTTCGTGGCGGATTTACTGTCAAGACCATTTTCAAAACGGACTTTTCAAGAAAAGTAAGTGAGTAAAATGTATTTTTTTTCCTAAATGGTATTGCGAGTTAATGAGGATATTATTGATGTTTTTTTTTTTTTGGGGGGGGGGGGGGGGGGGGG